CACCCAAAACATGCCTTACGCCTTACTAAAACATCCTGCCAAGTTTGTGCTAAATCTCCCCTGTGGTGACATAGAAGTGGATTTTTAAACAATAATTAATTTTAAATACAATATTGTTATACAATATTAAAAGGGACAAACTTCACCTTAATCAAATTTTAAAGATAAATGCTGCCATCTAGTGACCAAGTAATTGTTCTACTTCCATCAACGTTTGTACATTTCCTTCTTTGTCATTTGAATATTTTTTAAACGTATCTATTATAGTTCAAACCCTCTGCTGTGTCTGAAGTCTGCCTGAATGAGGCGTCTAACATCAAGCATTAACACTGCTGATGTTCTGCCTTCACCCCAGTATCAAAGCTTACCTCTCTGCACGTCTGTCTTTCTCCTCCTCTCCACCTCCTCCTTCTGTGGTATCCCACTAGCAGGGAAAAAAGACACAATGCCTCTAGAAGTACAGAGAAAAAGTTAGATAATGGTTTCCACGCATGCAATTGACTTTGGAATATATATATATATATATGTGTGTGTGTGTATGTATGTATGTATGTATGTGTGTGTTCACGTGTGCTCGGACCCAACACTTAAACATTCCTCTGCTGATTCCAGTCTACTTGACCTGGATCCAACTGCCAACATTTTCATTTGAAGAGGAATCACAGCCTTTACCATAAATAACACAACATTATCTCATTGTTATTATTAGCTACTGGTGCTCAACCCAGCTTTCCATAAATGTGAGGCAGTCATTCTGGAGGAAGCTCAGATGTCAATTTATATTAAATATGATAATATTTCCCATTAAGAAGTAACAAGAGCTTCATTCTCTTTTGCAAATCACAGAAACTCTCATTTAAAATCATTCCAGTTCTACCAGACATCTCACTTGTATTTGACCTTCATCATTTAGCGCCTCCTATTGTTGATGAGACTCCATCACATCTGCAGCGTGTTCTGCTGCTCCAAGCAAGTCCCTTATTCAGCCCACAACAGAGTCATTCACAGTGTGCTGCACCATTAAGTATGTGGTTCCTCTGGTGCTCAAACCCAGGACCTTCTGCATGGCAGATATGTAAGGCAGGTATGATAACCGCCACACCATGAAACCACCATCTTAGTCAATAAACCAAAATGAATATATTCCAAATGGTAATTCTGTAATCTCTTTGGAGAATCAGTGAGAGCGAGAATATTCAACTGTCACTCCTGGAGCATTGACGGCTGAAGGAGGGAATATTTTCCTCACAGAGTGAAAACCCAGACACAGACACAGACGTCTTCTTTATTCTGTGTGTGAACAGAACAAATGAATTGTTCATATATCACAGTAATTATGATTTAATCATGAGGTCCAGCTGTTTGAATGCTGCGTGCCGTCTGTACTAAGACGCCATTGACTTCTAACATCACCCCACCCCCACCCCTTCACCCCCCCACCCACTGATGTTGCTCAGCAGTGATCAGTGACCACACTGTGTTCTGTGCTTGAAACTTCTCTTCCTGACAGTTCTTTAGCTAAACTTCCACATATATCAACTCTCAGCATTATGCTGCACACAGTTGGAGCGCCCCCTAGATGGCTTCTCATTTACAATGTACTGTACAGAGGGGATACACCATGGAACGTTCTCCAGTTTTCCCCTTTTGTAGGGCAGGCCTTCTAGAGAAAAGGTGTTTTGTGAATTTGAACTTTACCAAGAAAATTGTCCAGTTTAAACTGATCAGTCTGATACTGTCTGTTTGGCGCCATCGTGCTCAGTGTGGTTTCCCCTGGTACTGCAGCTGTCCTTTACTTTGGTTTTGTCGTAAATGTGTGACGCCTGTTTTCATGGATCTTTATTGAGTTTTCATTTACATCAACACTTTTGAATGAAACTGAACCAATAACAGGTTGGGCTCCGTTCAGAAACTAAACAAAAGTGGTTTTTGTAATGTAATGGTAAAAAGATCGACTGAGTCTGACCTACAAAACCTGTATCTGCAATGTGTCTCTTCTTCTGTAAACCGTGGCCAGACAGATGGTCCTCTGATTGATAAATGTAATTAGACAACAGTGTTTTACATAATGATGCATTTGATCCTAACAAGTGTCAGGATTTTAATTGGATGTTGCAGCTGAGGCTGAATCACACGTCTGTCGGAGGTTTTTGTGAAGAATAGCAACAGATATTTCTGCAGAGGGGGATTTTAAAACCTGAACCAGGGAGCAATCTATGGAAGTTATTACTTTAATTTCAAGTTTTTGTATTTGTACGTGGTTTAATATTATTTAGAGCATAAAAGAGAAAAAAAATGCACTAGCGAAGGAACAGTATTCAGTTTGTGTTGTGCTGTAATCCAGGGATTAGGTAATCACAGCCAAGGCAATTAAAACTGTCATGCAGATTTAGATACACGTTGGCCCTGGATAGTAAACAAAACAAAAGAACGGCCACGCAATTGGATGAAGTGCAGACAACACAACATGATACTATTTCTGGAGCGACTCATCATGAATGATCTAATCCAATATGAAGCAGGACAAACAATTATCCCGGGGAACATTCATCCAACCAGCAACAAGAAGACGTGGGTTCATAATGACAAACAGAACATCAGCTCTTCCTGGTTTATTAGGATTCATTGCTAAATCTGTCGGAAATATGAACGAGGACTGGAAATAACACGCAGTGGTGCCGTGGCTTTGACAGTGAGCAGCTTCATGAATCAGATCAGAGATGTGGATGGATAAATCACTGTGGGTGTAACGTGTTATGATGCTCCAATTGTGAAATAAACATCTGTTGTATGTTAGTGTGTTAGCTGTGCAGGACAGTGTCAGTCTGTAGACCAGGGCAGTTTAGGTTCAGTCTGGGGCAAATGTTTAGACCAAAGAGTGTCTAATCACATTTGGATCAAATCATATAGACACTGACTGTTTTTAGGAACCCTAACTCTAAAAAACTCTGATTCTGTCAGTTTGGAGGTGGTCTCCCTAAGTGAGTGTCATTCATGGTCAGTTCAACCAGAGGAATTTCTGATTAAATATGAATGTTTTTTTTTTCTCTAGTGACCGCAGACTGGGCCGCATAAGGTCCACAGGCCACTGTTTGAATAGGTCAGCTGTTGTCAGTTTTGCCCCTGAGCGTGATTGTGGTTTGACGCCCCCTGTCAAATTATTGATTAAATCTCTTTAGTGAAAATGCCACAGAAATGTTAAAGGGAGGAAGTGCAAGGCTACAAATGTTGTAAAAACTTGGTTGTTATTTTTATTTAAATTTACATCTTAACACAACACAATAATTAGATGCTGTGTAAAGTGAAACTCTAGTTTCAGCTTTTATTTAATTCTAGTAAACAATAAAACATAATGAAAACTATCAACACAAAAAGCACTGATAATAAAGATGAAGTTTTTGAATTCGCTCCAACTGACAAGCACTAAAATCAACCTCTACTTCCCTGCAGCCGTCGTCCGTCACCTGCTCCCGTTCTCTGCAGAAGTCAAGAAGCAAAGGCAGCATTTGGAGCAGCAGCTTCAGGACTTCAACCTCTTTTTCTGATTAGTCAAAACAAGCACTGAGTCACTCGGCCACTCGTCCTTGATTGGTGGACAAAGTGTCGGACAAAGCGGTCTCTGACAGGGCAGTGGTTACGAGACGAAGCCAAACAGCGGTTGAACGAACAGGCCCACGGTCCCCAGGACGCACACGGTCACAAACACCCACAGGAAGATCCTGTCGATCACCATGGCAACGTACTTCCAGTCGTCCTCCACCTGTAAACATGCAGGGAACAGGAGCAGGAAGAGAGTCAGTGGTGCAGCGGAGGAACGTGTTGCACAGTTAAGAAAGTGCGCAGGACAGAAGACAGAGGTTCAGTGAGGTAAGGATGAAAGGAAGAGTCGGAAACTGATCCATAATTTACACCTGAGAAAACGGCTATGATCACACGCAAAGCCCAGAGTCAGAAGAAGTGGCCGACAGTCTTAGTCGGAGACAGATTCAGCCACGCTTTCCTTCACATCAAAGGGCAGCTTTTCCCTGTCGGGACTTCTCACTCAAACTGGTTTTAACTGGCAGAGGAAGGTGGGCCAGCTCTGCAGTCTAACCTGGAAGGATTTAGGTTCTTCCCACTATTGTTATGAACTGTTGGAATGTTTGGATCTTCAACAGTGCATCTCAGAATCAAAGCTTTTCCAGAGTGAGACAGAAAAACAGAGTTTCACTTGTCACAAGTTTTAGTTTCACTGAATCTCCTGGATCTTTGAATCCCATCGTCATTTGTCTGTGGGTGATTCAACCTCAGGTCTGTGGCCTGGCTTGTGTCAGAGCAATCTGACTGAGATCAGGACAGTTAGTCTGGACTGAAGTTAAGAGAGAAACTCTCCACACGTTCTACCAGACCACGTCCAGATGAACAGTAATCACGGAAATACCCCAACTCTATGGAGAGACATTTTCACTGACACTGTTGGACATTTTTACAGATGAATAATTCCATCATTTGGATTAGTCCACCCACTCATTTTAAGATTTGATAATGTTTGGTTTCCAGGCTCCACCTTTTATTACATGCATTTTTCACCTCTTTAGCGATGTTGTGGCTCCTCATGTTCTCGGCGATGTACTTGACGCTCTCGATCGCTTGTTTGATCTCAGGTGAAACCACAGAGAAGGTCACCACCGTGTTAATGCTCTGTGGACTCAGCCGACGGGTCATCCTACTAACGTCTGGGGTTTCTGGGGTGTCCTTCCCATGCTGACAGGGGCAGGGACATTTCTTATCAGTACAGCCCTCTATAGAGGAGACCTTACTGTCCCCAAACTCCAGACTGCTGAGTGGCCCTCCTCCTCCTCCTCCTCCTCCTCCGACCTGCTGGACACCAAAGGCAGACAATGGATTGGTTGACCCATGTTGCTGTGCATTATTTTAAGTTTTGAGTTCTGTGTCCACTAAAAATAACATTTCAAAACGTACAGTAGAGAACTCTAAGAGAACACCACTCATATTTTAAGCAGTACAAAAACCTTTCACAGGTTCACATGACTGACTTCCACGGGTTTGGTTTATTATTATTATTATTATGTTTATTATTCAAGCTAATTATTAAAGCTAAATTGCTGCTAAAAGTGTGAATTTTAATTATTGCGATTTTTGAAATTTACAAACAAAAAACAAAATAACCAAAGTCAGCTGCAGTAACAAAGCAAAATGATGTTGTAGTTGACATTGGTGTAAAGAAATGATGGTGTTCCAATGATAATCAGTACCATCAAAAAGAACAGGCTCTTTAAAGCAGAAAGTACATGTACCAGGTCAATGTACAACAGTGTTTCCTGACTTTTTTTGTGGGGGGGACCCATATTTTAAAAGTCACAAACCTTTGTGACCCAAGTCAATAGACATTATTCATAAACTCCTGGGAAACATGATGTGAGACGACCCCCCCCCCCCCAAAAAACTCTTGCGACCCACCTGAGGGTCGCGACCCAGTCTTTGGGAAACAATGATGTACAATATACACCATATAAATATACTGTATACTGAGCTTTACATTAATCAGAGCAGTGCTCCGGGTCATTCGGCGGCTGAGGTCCATTATCGCTGCCTAGTTTTCTAATGAACCATGATACAAACATGTCCTACAGAATGAAGATGACAAAAAAGAATTTACCTGCACCAAACTGTTCTTCCTTTTCTTCCTTCCTTTTCCTCCTCCGCCTCCTCCTCCCCTTCCAGCTCCTCCTGCCTCCCCACTGTCCAACCCCCCAGCCTTGACGTCCACACCGATTGGTCTCCGCATCAGCATAATCCTCGGCAGCACACGAAGGAACACGGCGCGCACCCAACAGGGCATGGTGTGAGTCTGCGGTGTGCGGTAGTGCACGTTCAACACAAACACGGTGATGACGATGCTGAGTGTGACGAAAATCATGGTGAAGAGCAGGTACTCTCCGATGAGCGGGATGACCAGCGACGTGGAGGGGATGGTCTCCGTGATAACCAGCAGGAACACAGTGAGGGAGAGCAGGACGGAGATACAGAGCGTGACCTTCTCTCCACAGTCTGATGGGAGATAGAAAACCAGCACCGTGAGGAAAGAGATGAGGAGGCAGGGGATGATGAGGTTGATGGTGTAGAAGAGTGGCAAGCGTCGGATGTAAAAGGAGTAGGTGATGTCGGGGTAGATCTCCTCGCAGCAGTTGTATTTGATGTCGTGCTTGTAGCCCGGAGCGTCAATGATTTCCCACTCGCCACTTTCCCAGAAGTCTTTCAGGTTCACCTGGAGGATGGAAGATCAAGTCATCAGATCTCTGCAGCAGTGTTGGACGTCAATTTAACTATTTTTATAACGACAGGGAGGAACTAACATCATAATAATAGGATTTTTTTTTTCTAAAATGCCATCGACACATGAATACTGTTTTGGAACGGACTAAAGTCGTATCTCAAAGCCCCCACTGTATTTAAGCGTATGATGTGGTCAAGACTAATAGTTCAGCTGACGCCCGTCACTTCCATGGGCGGAGGTTGTTGTAAATCAAACCAGCAGGAGTTCATTAAAGGCTGGACTCCAATCATTCTATTCTGCAGCTCATTAACATATCTCATTAAACGCTGCCTTTAAATAGTGCTTTCTTTAAAACTTCATGTCCCATTTTATTACACACTTCCACATGCATGGAAAAACATAATGACATAACCTTAGACTAAATAGACTCAGACTCAGTAAGAGCTTCACTGGTACAAGACACATGAAAAAACAGTAACACCGTCTGAACAAAGCAACAGTACAACCATGTGTACAATCATACAGGAACTGCTCTGCCAGCGTGTATACAGTATATGACACCAGTGTGCAAGCAATACAGACCAAAGGAGACTCTGGGTTTGGTTGTAATGCCAAAATGGTCTGCTGTCCAGATGGGCCTCAAACAAATCGTCATTTTTCTAAACCATGTAATTTGTTTAGCCGTCAAACCAAAGAACAGAACCGAAGAAAACACTGACCTTGGAACCGATGAGGACCAGGTCAATCTTGGCTTTGTCGTAGGTCCAGGACCCAAACTTCATGGAGCAGTTCTGATAGTCAAAGGGGAAATAGGTGATGTCCATGGGGCAGGAGGACTTGAAGATAGCAGGAGGAACCCAGGTGATGGTACCATCGAACTTGAGCAGAGCCTTGGTCTTGTCCTCGACCAGGAAGTCCCCCACGGCACTGAACAAACAAAGACATCAGGCGTGACAGACATGGGAGGGAGGTGGTCGCTTCAAATACTGCAGTATTTAAGAAGTTTACTTCATGGAATAAACAAAACACAATAAATATTGATGAAAAACTGAGTTCTCTGGCTGTTTGAAATTATTCTCAGAGTTCATTAAAGATTCATGAAAATTGTTGGCCAATAACTTTGTCTCTAGATTCCACTAGAAAAGGTAGCGTCCATGAATAATACATATAATAATATTAAGATTATTGTGCTTTTTTATTGGATGACTATAAACTAATGTAAACGTAGAAAATGATTTATTTGTGGAGGGACGATCTCAGTGAGTCGTTATTTTAATCAGACTCATGATCCGAACATTTACTTCCTAATATTTTTTATCTAATTTTTGAAAATGTTCCCTTTTTCTTGTCCTTACTTGTTGTAAAGAACAATGTCAGGTCTCCAGATCTTATTGGATGGAACTCTAATGAACTCGATGCCATCAAACTCAGCAGGCGCCCAGCGCAGCTTGTAGTCATTCCAGATCTGAAAAAGGAAGAAGAAAAACATTTCTAACCATCTTGTGGAGTCGACCATCTGCTTGAAGTATTCTCGTTGACACTGCAGTATCCGTCACTGTGGACACCCTCTGTCAAATACATGTCCGTACTGCAGTCAGAACTTTGGATTTGTCGCAGTAAGGACACGGGAAGGAAGCGTGATTTTTCATCTTATTGTTCTGTCGGGGATTATTAATGGGAGGAGTTATATAAGAAGATAATTACATCAACGACCACATGTTCAGGGAACGTCCAATCAAATATGAGTAAACACTGATAAAGAAGAAGCTTCAACTCACTTTTCTCTAAAAGTACCTGCAGGTAATGTTTCAGCAGCCGTGGATTCATCAGTGCTGGTTATTTGCATGTCATTTAAGATGAATCCACTCATTAGCACCGCCTGATTGATGCACGGCTCTGAGCCTCGAGCTGTTAAATTAACCACTCCACGCTGCACTGGCTTCTCCATTTATCTCTCACTGCAGTTTACTGACTAGATGATTGGCTGAAGATGTGACTCCCGATCATTCAACGTCTGCTGCTGGTCAGTTTGGAAAGAGCAGATTTTATTTTACATCTAGTTATGTTTAACAAATCCAAAGGAACACTCAGAGCTCTGTCAACATCGGTCAGTCGTACTGTCAATCATATACAAGTAGGTAGGATTAAAGGCTGTTCCTGAAGACCCAATCACAGAGCAGTAAAAGCAGCGGAGGACAACAGATGTGAACAGATGCCAAATGTATTCACTCTGTTCAGTCAGACTAAAGTATTACTATATCAGTATCAGATATGAAGTAAAACCACAGTACCTTTATAAGTATCAGGCCCAAAACCATTTAAATATAGTCATACTGAAAAACACATGCTGACACATGCTGCATCCTGATACCGTAATCTGAAAACAGGTGAAAATGTAGGAGACAAATATAGAAAGAAGTCTGTGTCAGTGAGCGCTGGAGTTGGTACCAATGTTTAGAAACTCTAAGTGTTAAGGAAAATCCCTGCAGAACACATGCACCAA